GAGTTTGTTTAAAAGGAGGAATGTAAAACTTTCTTCCTCAATCCTAAATATTCCTTCCTAAATTTAGAGAATTTCTCTAAATGCTGTCAGCTGCTGTTTCACTATTTTAAGGGGAAGGAGGTCTTTTATATTATTTTGCAGGGGGAAAAAATAAAGAATTAATCCAAAATGAGCACCAGGCTCACTAACTCCCAAATCTCAGCGTCTCCAGCACCAAATTTAACCTAGCTTTCACTGCTGTAGAAGATTAGGATATCTTGCAAAACAAATTAAACATATTTTCAGAAATTATTTCACAGAAATGTTGGTGATGGACAAGTTGCATAGGTCTGGCTCAGTTGGTGAGCTGCCATAGAAAGTATAGCTTTAATCTTTTTCTTCATATATTTTTCACTCACTGGAAGGAAGGGATCAAAGGCATCAGGTGGTATTTAATAAGAGAACTAGCATCCATAGCCCGGGCCTTCTTCAAAGCCACACCAGTGGGCCAGCCAGGCCTAGGTGCAAGATTGCCTGGCATTCCAGAACATTCCCGCCTGCCTCTGCAGCATTCTCTGAGTTCAACACAGCAGTAGCTATGTTTCTATTGTCCCAAGCACATTCTTAATCATACAGGACTCAGGCCTCATGCCTCGTAAAATTAGTTACTGAGGATGAGAGATGAATAGAACACAATCTGGTCCTTTCTTTAATTCACTGAAAGTTTTGCATACAGGCATTACTAGGCTCTAGGAATATGATGGTGTATAGGATGGACATTGTTCCCTCCTGGTTCCTGCTGTTTACTATTAAGAAACTTATGGACGCATATAAAAAATTGCACCAGATTCTAAACCACGTGATACAGTAATTCTACACAAGTTCAGAGAACATTCTTCATTTAAAAAATATTTATGTAATGCGTAACACATTTAAGCCACTGTTCTCGATCCTGGAGATACTGCCATGAACAATCTCCTTAAGCTTACATTCTCATGAGAAGGCATATTATCATTTGCAAATCACTTTTTGACAAATTGAATTTTCATTTGCAAAATACAGTCATTATTTTTTGTGCTTGATACATCAATTTGAGGAAAATCATACTTATGAGCTTTACTTTACGGAATTACATTCACTGAAATCAATCACAAGGATGAATTTGATGATATCTGAGAGGGTAGTTGGTGATAAGAGATGAGATTTCTATTTCTCAATTATTTACATTTTGAAATGTTAATATCATGTAAGGCAATTGCAAAAAGTGTGTGACTACAATTGCTTCTCAAAGCTTCTAATGGAGATGCAGGGACTGTGGTCAGAAGAGCCAGGGTTCGCCTTTGTAATGCACTGGGGCTTACATTGTTCTTCTTCCTTGCCTAATTTTCCTGCTATAGCAAAGTGTAGAAAGAAACGATCCATTTTACGTTAGAAGATGTGCCTGCCCATGAGCACCAAATTTCATTTTGGGTCAAATTACAGTTTACCAACAAGCAATTCTGTACACACGGAAAGCAGTCAATAAATTCTTCATGATAAAGTAATGAGGAAGTGTAGAAAGGGATTTGACTGGGCAGAGTCAGGAAGATATTAGTGAGCAAGCAATTCTTACCTAGTAACTTTTATTTACCTACTTAACTAACTAAAATTTCAGCCAAATTGGCCATACTCTCAATGTTGGAAGACTAGACACATATATGCATAAAAATAGATTGTTCATTAGGGCCATGATCTTTTCTTTGGCCACTAGGATCTATCGTCATTTTCTAACATTACTGAATAGACATAAGTTCAAGAATATCCCTCTCTTGAAGGTGTTTTTTTTTTTTCTCATTGAAAATATTGATATGCCAATGCTCTATACATTCTAATCTGGGAAGCGCTTCCTTTTTTTTTTTTTTTAGACAGAGCCTCTATAGGGCTAGAGTGCCATGGCGTCAGTGAGTAGCTGGGACTACTGGTGCGCACCACCACACCCAGTTAATTTTTTCTATTTTTAGTTGCCCAGCTAATTTTTTCTATTTTTAGTGGAGACAGGGGTCTCACTCTTGCTCAGGCTGGTCTCCAATTCCTGACTTCAAGGGATCCTCCCGCCTAGGCCTCCCACAGTGCTAGGATTACAGGTGTAAGCCACTGCACCCCGTCGGAAGTGCTTTTTGATTTTTATGTCAAAAGGATAATTATTCCAGACAGAATTTAATTGCTTATTTTGTCGGGGTTCAGTACTGATATTACAGGGCTTGAGACAAAGAAATCTAATGCATTGCGACCTTTCTGTTGGTGCAGATCTCATAGATAACAATCATATGTGTGCAGCACAGTGGAGTTGCAGAAGGA